GATGGAAACGTCAGACGATGGGATAACTTCATGGATCATACCAAAAATCTTTCTTTCTGCTAATCGAACATGTACTTCTCCCGTACTAGACATATTATTTATTAGACGCATTCTAAAGGCATGATATCACTCTTATGATATCTTCCGATAGGTACCATTTAGTATCGTATGCCTTTTCATTTCCTCTATTTTCTTAGTCTATCATGGTTCGCATCACTTCCTGAACTTCTACCATTGTGATAGGTTGGGTGTAGGCACAACGACCGATGTATGACCCATCACATTCTTAGGCTTAGGTTGTCATCTTCCTCTTGTTTTGTACACCCAAGCAGACGTTCGGTGTACCGAGATGAGAATTTAAGATAGGAAAGATCTTATTTACGATAGACGTATAAATCTCCTTATTATTCTAAAACGTTACATGCTAGTTCTAATATCGTTATCATACGCTTAGAATCCTGAACACATAAGGTTTCCAGATCCGGTCGGCAACAGACCATAGATCCAAACAAATAAGAGCATATAAGGCATTTTTATAGCTATAACATAAATCATTTAGCACATAAAACATTTTAGGCATCTTTCCTAAAATAAACTAGTGCTCGTGTCTAAATTATAGCAGACACTCATCTTACATTCATCGCTTAGCATTCTAAGTTTAAGTCTAGAAATTTCCTACAAATTCCTAGTTCGCTTAAACTAATGCTCTGATACCAACTGTGACATCCCCATTTTTACGGCCAGAAAAGACCGATTTTGTTTATGCTTTATAAAAATCAGAGTATCTCTTTTAATAAAAAAAAAGTTGCGGAATTTGTTCCCAGAAAAACATGATAATCGGTTATCAAAGCATTTCTAAAGAAATATATTTTTATTCACTTTTAAAACATTTGGGATGTCATCGTCAATACAGAAACATAAGCATAAACAGAACTTACATTCATTTACACTAGTGATCTACATCTCTTTTAAATCTCTCAGTGTAATGTGACTTCATATCAACACCTGTGATATAAATAAACTGAGTGGGTCAGGTTGGGAAACCTAGTGAGTACATAGTGTTTTCAACCCACAATAATATAATTATTATGTTTAAACAATCAAACAATCAACCCAATTACCCATCCCCATTATCTTCTTTATTCTTAAGGATCTACCCTAAGAATCAGCTATTTCGCATTCATTCATTCCTAAGGATCATCCTAAGGAAACAACATGAAGTCCATTGTTGCCGATGACACATTGGTCAAGCGCAGCTGCTAATATTGTCACTTAGGCACATCTGCCAGAATTGGGACATTTTCGATGAGGCGCTTCTGCCGGTATTGACCTTTAAACACTACTGTCATGGTCATAAGGCTCCTTATTAGGCGCAGCTGCCGATACTGTCCTTAGAGCGCACCTGCTAGGACGCTTACCGTAGATCTAAATCATCTACGGGTTGTGGCGCAGCTGCTAGTGCTCATCTATAGGGTACTAGGTCCACTGCTGCCAATGTATACCTATAGGGCACTAGGTCCGTACTACTAATGTTCCTCTATTTCAACTTTTATCCCTCATCATTCATCTACCCATGTTTTACCCAACATATTTTGTAGATATAAAATACTTTATACAGTTTACATCATTTAAAACATGTATAAAAATCTTTCACCAGCATAGACAACAAGTATTCAGACAATATGCACACATAACACGTAATTTACATTAAAATACTTCATATCTATGTGTAAGATAAAAGGGACCATGCACTCACCTGATTAGGTGGTGATTCCGAACTCAGACAACACTTCGTTATCTCAAAACAATTTTCCTCGACAAAACCTAGTATCAATACCACTAGGGTTTAGTTTTTAACGTTAACCTCGACTAATTAATAGTCTAGCTGTTATTACTATTATATAAGTGTTAAATAACACTCAATATAACTCATAATAGTAGCCCAAATAATTATTTTAAGGTCCTAATAATGTACTATAATTAAATAAAATCTATATTAAATATAGTATAGGCGTAGCTCACTTACAGCGGGTTTTTATTAAAAATCGGGCTTCGCTAGAGCAGCGTTTCCGAGCTGAAAGCTTTTCTTCTCAGAGCCGTCGGGCGCTCCGGGGCTTTCTTCTCGTGCTAGGGAGGTTCCCTAGACTTGGAAGAGGTTTAGGGAGGCTAGAGATAAGTTAGAGAGAGAAAGAAAGGCTTATGGTGTGAAGAAAATATGAGGAGTTCACCCTTGTATTTATAGGAGTTTTATAGTAAAGTAGTCTCTAAGCTTCGTCCGTATCTTCCGCGTACGAGCTCCATTTTCTACGTTATTTATATCCACGCATTGGTATTTATGAGTACAACAACATTCATTTAGACCCCGTCGGCTAATTCTCCTTCTATCTCATATTTACAAAAATTGTATCGAATTCGCCGCGCTCGAAAAGTAGAGACTAAGCTTCGTCCATAACTTTCGCATACGAACTCCGTTTTTGTCGATATTTATATCCACGCGTTGGGATTTACGAGTACTACAACTTTCATTTAGACCTCGTTGGCTAATTCGCATTCTATCTCGGATTTACAAAACTGTATCAAATTATCGCGCTCGAAGAGTAGAGACTAAGCTTTGTCCATATCTATCTCATACTATCTCCGTTTTCGACATTCTTTATATCCATGCTTAGGTAAAAATAATATCTACAACTTTCATTTTGACTCCGTTGGCTAATTCTCGACGGATCATAAATTTAACAGTAGGAGACGTTTAGACTATTAAATGACCGCGAAGAATTCGTAACTCCTTCATACGAACTCCGTTTTCGTCCATCTTTTTACCGTTGAGTTCCTATTAATGAGATCTTTAACTCTCATTTAGGTCGCGTAAGCCAAAAACCGCTCGAACTAAAATTCGAGTTTCAAGCTGTACATTGCTAAGCCGAAACTTTGAAAAATCATAACTCCTCATACGAAGTCAGATTTGGGCGTTCTTTTTATGGATTTTCTCATTTTAACATACTCTATGACTTTGGTTTAGATAACTAAGGCTAAAAAGTCTTCTATCGTAAATTCACTTTTTACGCTTCCCGGTGCCATGCCGGTTTTTCCGTAAAACTTCGACGGGCCATAACTTCTTCGTTATAACTCGGATTTCGGCGTTCTTTATATGTACGGAAACCTTGTGACATATATTATAACATGGTTAAGATTATTTATTATAAATAATATTTTTCCGAAAAGTCATTTTCGACACCTATTATCCCTAAATTGACTAGCCCGGATCTACGGGCGTTACAGATGAGGAGCGGTACGGTCACGCCTTCGCCTTGCCATGATCTCCTGAAGTACCTGAAACATTAAACTAAAAGTTGTAAGCCCAAGGGCTTAGTAAGCTACCCCAAAAATACCAATACCACACCGATAATACCATATCAACAACAGACAAACAGCAACATGCATACTGGGCCATCGACCTGACTAGACCGCCCTGCAGGGCCTACAGTCTATCTGAATCTATCCCGAGCCTTCGGCATAACTGGACCGCCACGTGGGTCTACAGTGTTCCCGGACCGCTCATAGGGTGTGTTGTCCTTCAGCACAAACCTCAACCCAAACAACAAGCAAATAACCATGTGTGCATAACTAGCATATACTGTCATATACAAACATCAAATAATCTATCTCATTGATCATCAATCATAGCAATCCTTCATAACTAGAGCATCGACCTAGCAGGTCACTATCATACGAATCCCTACGGATCATAAGAGCATAACATAATGTCTATCCTGATTCTGATCTAACAGATCATAACCATAGGTAGCATACCATAACAATAACAAGTGATATAGTGAGGATAACTCACCTTGCAGATGTCGGCTTCATAGATAAACTTCAACCCTCGGATCACCGCCACAAACTCCACCACCTATTACCATAGCATAATCATACCCATAAGTTCCCAACCTTTCAAGGTATCCCATAAGCCAACTAATCAAACCCTGATCAAAGTCAAAGTCATTAGTCAAGGTCAACAATCCATGTTGACCCTAACTCGCCGAGTTCCTTGAAGTACTTGCCCACTTGCCGAGTCACCGGAGTGACTCGTCGAGTTCCTTCGGTTTATGATCGAAACCATAAGGCCACTCATCGAGTTTCCTTCTTGCAACTCGATGGTTACACACGCATACATAAATTGGGGAAACCTCAACTGACTCGTCGAGTTGTTCATCCAACTCGTCAAGTCTACAACAATATTCATCGGACTCGCCGAGTTGTTCATCCAACTCATCGGGTCCAGGATCATCTTCATGAGACTCGCTGAGTCAACCTTGCGACTTGCCAATTTCCATCAGTCCTTAAGCCACACAGACTCTTTTAAGCCATTCAATGGCTCCAAATTACAGATCCAAGCTTCTAAGGCATGCTTTTCACGTAAAGTTGCAAACTTTACGTGCATGCATAGCTACAAAGGCTCTAAATGTCAAATCCAAGCTCACAATGGGGTTTCATACTAAAAGAGGCTTCATACATGTCCAAATTCGGAGCTTTATGACTCTACACTACTAGAAAAACGGCCTTTTACGACGCTCATTTCGTGTCGTAAAAGGCTCAGACGACGCGCAAATGCGCATCAAGGAAGGCCATGTCATAAAGAGAGACGACGCGCTTTTGCACGTCGTCTATAGACGACGTGCATTTACGACGCGCATTTACGACACACAATTACGACACGCGTTTACGACACACAATGTGTATCAAGGAAGGCCCTGTCATAAAGGAAGACGACACGCATTCGCGTGTCGTAACCTTACGACGCGCGTGTTAATGACACGCAATGCGTATCAAGAAAGCCCCCGTCAAGAAAGGCCATGTCATAAATGAAGATGACACACATTTTTGCGTATCATAATTTTAAATGTTAAAAAAAATATAATTTATAGATTTACTTATTTTCAAATTAAATTTGTATTTAATGTTTCATAATAGAAAATAAAATATCATATACAAAAAATAGAATCCATTACATAACTTTAATGTCATACAATTCTATTTCTTACAATATATAAATTTGCATCTAATCTACTATGTACATCGAATTCCAACTAACTAAAGTTGCATCTTGCCTTTCATAATTCTTTAAGACTAATGCTCCAAACAGCTGATTATATGGATAAGCAGTTGTGCATTGGCCCATCTCACTCAATAATGACTTAGCCAAATTCAACTCCAAGTCTTTACTGCATCTTGCTGATAATGCTACAAGATTTAAATAAAATTCAACTCCAAGTCTTTACTCAATAATCAAAATCCCAAGAGCAACATCCATTGTAGAGGCAAGTTCATTTTCAAAACAAAACATAGTATTTATAATGATAAGGATGTGGAGGGTATATTGTAAAAACTCAGACATGGCTATAATGGAGATAACAGGGATAGATATATATACCTTAAACAAATTAGCTTCCAGATAAGATTGAGAGCTGCAAAAAAAACAAATATATGTTAAGGTAGTATTTGGAGGATGTAATATGATGACATACACGTCCAAAAGGCTATTATCTATGAGCTTGACCAACACCAAGGGCATTATTGGTAGAAATAATGTTACTATTTGTAGGGTTGATAGGGATAATGTCTCCTCACTTTGTTCATGTACTGAAGCTCCCTGTTGAATATATTATATTTTTCTATGCATATGGGAACATGGGGAGGCGTCCTATGGGGGTAGATTTGTCATTTGACATACCGGTGACTGAACTGAAGGTGAAGACAAAGCATTTTCATGAAATTTTTTGTTCATATGAGTTCCTTCTACATAGGGCAATTAAGCCAACTAACTTGACTAAGTTGACATGGTTTCAAATTGAAACTATTTTCTAGATGATGAATGGAATATAAATTCAAGTAGGGTTTTGAAGTTTGAACAACAGATATGTTGTTACCTTAACGAGGCCAGGTGGAATTACTAGCCATCAACACCAATAGGCCAATGTGGAGCCTTAGCTGCAACATCCAGGCATTGTAGAATTGCTTGCTCTGCCTTAATTATAGATATTGAAAACGCTACACCACAACACAACACAAAGATATTAGCCACTTTTTTTGCATCAGAAAACAAAATGAACTTAACAAACCTCCTATATCAAGAGAAGTCATGAATGACCCTGCATACACTATAACAACAGCTACTCCATGTTCCAGCTGTAAAATAGGAACAACCTTTCCAGCAACAATCATCAGTTCCATTACAAGTGTCCTCCCTAATCTGAGATTTACAATTTTCAAATCACAAATCCAATTTGTTAAAAAGAAATACATAATTAGCAATCTTATTTACTTTGAAAAATATAAAACAATATGCATATAGATAGCTTCTGAGTTCTAACTTCCCTTAAAATGTTAATGTATAGGGTAAGAAACACTTATCAAAAGGCAAGAAGCAACTAAGCAAGAGAGATTACATTGCATACCCGTTAATCACAAGTACAACACAACTCCCACATTTAATTGGAACATAGTTAAGGTTCATATTTAAGATAAAAGTGTCTATTTATTGGTTATGGTTCATATGAGGTGAGATATCGCTTAAGCGCTTTTTGGATGGAAGAAGTTGAAGGCTCATCAGAAAAGCAGAGATATCACACTCAATGAGAAATATAGTTGGTTAGTAATATATATATATATATATATATATATATATATATATATATATATACTTTTTTGTATGTGTCCCAAATTATATAAATTTATTTTATTTTATCCATGAATTTAAGGTTGAATACAAAAAAAAAAAGTAATATACTTTTATATATTTGTTTTGCATCCAGTTTTGTTTCCGTGTATTTCAAAAATGTACTTTAAAAATATTACACAATTATAGGAATCCTAATTCCAATACAGACAATATTAGTAAAGATGTGTAATGGAAAAAATTGAAGTCAAAAAGGGGGGAAGATGTGTAATTTTTTATATTTTAACTATTACATGGACATTCCGCTTGTAAAAAAGGTTAATATTATAAAAGACCTTATATACTGTGTTTTTTTTCCGGATTAAACCTCAACTTTATTTTTTCCTGAAAAATACCTTGCATTTTTCTATGTTTTTCGCTTTGGCCCTTTTAGCAGTTTTTTTTTTCCGAGAAAGCTTGTCAAATGTGAGGGTTTTTTAAGTAAAGAAAATAAAAAGTTGAGGGTTTTTTCGGAAAAAATAAAAAGTTGAGGTTTTTTTCGGAAAAAATAAAAAGTTGAGGGGTTTTTTTGGAAAAATGTGAAAATGCAAGGTCTTTTTCAGGAAAAAATAAATTTGAGGTTTAATCCGGAAAAAAACCCAATATATAAGGTCTTTTATGATATTAACCTGCAAAAAATCCATGTCACAAAATATAAAAAAAATAATAATAAAGAAAAAAAATAGCAGGATATCTTCCCTAAAACAACCAATTCTGCAAATATCCAATAACATGGTAGAACCAATGGTGATCATCTTGCATAATGGAGTGGAGTTGAGGAATTGACATGCCATAAATCATTTATTTATGTTCTTTAAAATACAACTAAGCAGCTGATGTGTCAAAAAATTTAAAAACTTATGCCACATCATACACATAAGTCATAGCAGGTTGCATGAACCATTGTCCTATTTTGAAACACCATTGCATATTATGTATAACAACAAACATTATAAATAAAAAAAATGTGAAACATTGTTGTATAAATAACTAACTAACCCTAAACAAGAATTAGGAGTCCCTTATAAGTCTTTAGTAGCATACTAATAACTTCCATTCCACCAAGGTTTTTATAACAATTTAGAGGTCACTAGAAATGCATGGAAAATGAAATTCATCATTTACAAGAACCTACTACCATAATACATACCTCAGAAAGAACCATGAGCATCTGATCAATGTACCAAATCTTATCAAGGGAAAGCCTACAACACCAATCAAGAAATGTTATTGTGTGTATGATACTTTCAAAATCATCAAAATATGCTATAACAATATTACATTCACCAAATTAAAAGATAAAAATGAAACCTTCAACTTACTTTTCTACAATGAAAAAATTGAGAAAATTTTTTCAGTAAGATCTCCCTTGAAGTCCTGGTCACTTACATGTAGATAATCAATTAACTCCTTGGTCAAAGGTTTGACATTCGTCTCATTCACCAGAAGGTATACAAGTTCAAGAGCTCTTTTACGAATTGAAGCATCTGAATCCTGAATCATAAAGAAGCATTCAGAAACAACAACAAACTTATATAACTTGATTGATATTTCTTTTTGTTAAGAGAAAATTTTTACCTTTACACATTCCAAGATTGTTGCACGATGTCTCTGAACTGCTTGATCATCTACTGAAATTGCTTTCATCAGCATGTTCAATGCAACATATCTGCCATATAACAAATCCTAATATTTTAGACCATAATAAAGGGAATACTCATAACACATATTAAGACATAACTCACCTGATATTGTTGTCACGATTAGACAAGAATCTTCCCAATATATTGATTGCAAGAACACATAAACCACTGCTATCTTCAATGCTCATAATGGTTTCTACACATTCATAAAGTATTGCATTCCCTGCATTCTTGTTTGACTCAGTTTTTGTTGCCACCTACACAAGGAATTTCATAAATTCTTATAGTTTTGAATTATATATCACAATTCACAATGAGCTTTATTAAAATAAAAGCTAACCTGGGCAAGAATGTCATTCATGGAATCACTAGCATTAGCATCTCCATGGCCCAAAACAGGCAAAAGGCGAAGCAGTCTTATATGAAGAAAAGGGTCTGCAATACCTGAAACATCATATTCAGGAGCATATGGGCTGTTGACAACATCCTTCAAAACCTTCACCAACACTCTGTGCATTTCTATACCAAAGGAAGAAAAAAGAAAATATATCTCATCACTAAAATTACTAATTTGCACTTATAGAATCATATGTCAAATAGTTCTTAGCACAAATACACGGTAGAAAGATAAAGAAAGAGAACAAGAACTAGAAGAAGACAATCCCAAAAAATAATAGAGGATCTTTAACAAGATCAAGTATATTTACCTTCCTGAAAAATTCAAGAGCCTCTTCATTAAGGTTACAGAGATCTGTACAGAGCTGGATTGCTGTTAAAAGAACCCCATGATGTTTTTCTTTAAGTAAGGAAACAACAGGGTTGACAAAATTTTCTGCAAGGTCAGGGACCTTCTTTACAATCTTTATTGAGCACAATGCTGCCTGTAAATTGTAAGAACTTATGTGAGTATGATTCTTCATATGAAATGTGAGAATTAGATGAAACATCCTTGAGAGATCATGAAATGAAATAAATGTTAACATCAACTTACTTTCTTACGAATATTTGGATCTCGAAATTGCAGCAATCTTTCAACTTCAGGTGCAAGATCACGAGCCATTTCTGCTGAACATATATTACCCAAAGCACAAAGAGCTAGTCCCACAATGTACTGATTGGTGTGGTTAAGATCTCTGCAGATGATGAAAAAAAAAGATTCTCAAGTCAACCATGCTGCTTGAACACAAGATATAAGAAAGATAAGAGTGAAGAAAGACAAGAGCATACTGCTTTAGTGAATTGGTGACAAGCATCAAAACTTCTTGTCTTTCATCAAGAACCAACAGAAGTCCCAGATATCCTATTCTCTTTTCAGGGAATCCAGGAGCTGCTATAAGTTTCAAGCATTCCATTTGGCCAAAATGTGTTGGGTATCCTAACATGTGACTGAACATGAGCTTTGCCAAGTTACGGTGTCTGTAATCATTATCATTATCACTAACTGATGCACGAATAGAAGCACATTCTTTTCTAACAACAGCACGCTCTTCTGCAGCAGTTTTGCAGGCTCGTATTGCCCTAATCATGTCCCTACAATAGACCAATAATGTTTCATTTACAGTTTTAGACCCAACTAATTAACAGCAAATTACGCATGCGGTATGAAATGTAGTCGAATCTTTTGCAGGTGAAGGATAAACCAAAAAGATGAAAATCTTAAGTAGAGAGACATATGGTTTGCGAGGGATGGTTCATGACAGAGTTCATGGATTATCTTCATACCCAGATTAGGATCTTATAAGTTGGTGATAGTGTCTTACTCATTTGAGTGACCCATCCAATCGGGAAATACATGGATGAATTCCATTAAATGTACGCAAATCAAATGCCCCAACTATTACGAACGCGAACTAACTCTCAATATAGACAACTTGAGATAACGTTAATACAAATTAGGTCAAAATGAAGAACTAGTTCAAAATTGATCACAAGGAAAAGCTTTAAAACATAAGATCAGTTTTAAACAAGCAACTCACCTTAGACGCGTCCCAGACGAAAAGGGATTCATGATTGGTTCGGTTTTGAAATTGCGAGAGAGCTTGATCAGATCCAGAGATGTTTAGTGCAAAAACAAACTATATAACCGGGTCATAGACCGGTGACTGCAATTATATGTATGTTTGATCAAATCAAGATCTGGGGAAAGGTCAATTACGAGGATCTGAAGAGGAATTTGAGATCTGTAGCCTATAGATGCTAATGCAAACGTGATGATGATGACCAAAAATCTTGATTTCTCTCGCTAAATTCTTCCACTTTCGCTTCGGTGGGAGAGATGTAAGCGAGTATGCATCTATCTTTATTTTTCCCTTTTTGAAAAGCGGAAGACAATGTATAGAATACAAAGCACTTAAATCAAATGAAAGTATGCAACACTGTCTCATTTTATTTCTTTCATTTCTCAAATCGTATTCTTTTATATTTTTGTGAACCTCGACTTGTATGACTGCAAAAAGAAATAAACCATTTACATGAAGGAGCATGCATATGTACAATAAAGTTGAATCAATAAATAGTAATAGTTGAGGTTTACCGAGTTATTTCAGCATGTCACTGTGGCAATATTGGTGCTGGACATACTACAAGAGTTGAACCAGTAGGAACAGGGGAACTGGTTGCTTGACTCAGTTCTAAGCAAAATGGACAAATGTGATCCCCATCACAGATAACGATTTTGGAGCCCTAACTTTTGCGTTTTCTTGAATCACCATTCAGGCTTTCTGAATCTTTTATTGGTTCTGAATTTGTTTCTTTATACCGATAGCCTACACAATTTGCATGTCGCAAGCATCACAGACATCACATTGTACCCAAAAAAAACTTTGTACTTTGAGATTTCACTTACAGCCCCCCACACACAGTCTTTCTTCATTCTTTTGATGTTAGATTTCTTCTCTCCAGCAACTTGTATTGTCTTGTTTCTTATATCATCAACATGTATGTCCGATTTTCTATTGTGCAAATATACAGGCAAGCATCTCAATGGTTTTTCCTAGACCCATTTCGTTTGTTGTTTTTGTAGAAACAAATCGGTAAAAACATCAAAAAAGATGTATGAAATATTATAAAACCAATCGGATTCTTCTGGAATTAGGGTTCTAATATGGCTTAAGATATCAGGGAAGAAGAAGAAGAAGAAGTGAAGAAATTGTACGTGTTCCAATAGTGAAGAAATTGTAGGTGTTACACGAAAAATTAAGATATCAGGGAAGAAGAAGAAGAAGAAGAAGAAGAAGAAGAAGAAGAAGAAGAAGAGGAAGAAGAAGAAGAAGAAGAAGAGACTAGATGAATAACGGTAAGCACGACATACCTTAGTGCAACCAGAAGAGAAGAATTAGACCTGCTTCATTGAATAGAATGAGATATTTCTTGAAATCGGACCTAGGGCTTGTAAGCAGAACAAAAAATCATTACAAATCATGCTCAGTAAAGCATACCTTAGTTCAATCCGAGCTAGGGCTTTTAAGGCCCTAAGTCGTCGGCGTTGTGTGGGATGAGAAGCTGTAAGGCCCTAAATCGTCGGCTCTAGGATAGAAGTAGATGGAGCATGTAAGTTCTTCACACTTTCAAGCATAATTGTAACCCAATCGTCGGCTCAAGCATAATTGTAACCCAATCATAGTCACTCAACGCGAAAATATGCGATTTTGGAACGACGTAACTCTGTGGCGAAACCGATAGCAGCTTGGAATGAGATTCAACTAAGCCAAATTCAAGATTCGTGAAATTCAAGGTCACACGAGGCTACATGTTGCCTGAATTTCAGTCTACCGGAGTTCCGACAGATAAGTCCGACTTGTACGCTTTTCGGAATTGTACTTCTTGAGATATTGTCAGGCAAAGAAGGCAAGTGAGGAACGAAGGAAGGAGTGTCGATAACTAGGCAAGGCGACAGTCGAATCTATGGAGGGGGAAGAAAGGATCGTAATTAGGGCAAGAAGGAAACAAAAGTGGAGGATAAAAAAGAAGGCGGGTGTTCAAAATTTTAGGGATTTCATTTTCCCCTATCTACTAAACGCGCTTTTAATTAAAATTATAAAGTGACTCTCATAGAGGACGCCCATTTAAGATACAGCGCCCTCCGTGTTTTTAATTTTTTCTCGTATGACGCTAATTTAAGGGAACGCAATAATGCGTGACCTAAATCCTTAAATTTTTTGAAGAGATGACACTTTTTTACCATGTATTAAATGGGTTTATTTATATGGAAGAAGTCTTATTTAGCATGCTTTTTATGATGCTCTTGTTTTGATTGATATGTTCTTTTAGAAGCACCTGACATGTTGTTCTTGTGTGTTGTTAGATACCTGAATATGATTAATTGCAGATGCTAAGAACAAGTGAGTGAGCAGTTCTTGGGTAAGAAATTAACTCATTGTACAGAAGACGAGAGCCTCACTTAACGCCTTTGACAGGATCAGGATCATGTTGGCAAAGATAAAGCTAACTTAACTTTTAATTTACCAGGATTTTTTTACCTATCTAGGTAGCCGTTTTTCATGTTGATACCAGTTTATGCTATAGTTTATCAATTTGGCTGCATAAATTTGTAATAATTTGAATCATGGCTTCATATAATCTAATTTGTGTTCTGGCCATTGTTGGTTGCTTAGAAGCTGCGTGATTTTTGTTTTATTACATTTTTTTTCTCCATATATTAAAGGACACCTTATTTCAAGATTTAAACTTTTGTTTAGGTTGTAACTATTGGAAAAACGTTCTTGATTTCTAGTTTTCTGCTCATGAAACCTGGTAATAACAACTTGAAACATTGATTCCATCCATATAAGGTATAAAATGTTAAATATCAATTATTAAAAAAAATGATAAAAAGTAATTTGACAATTTTCTATAAGACACGAGCAACATATTCCAGCTTATGCTACTAGTTTATATTGGAATTGAGATTGAAATGTACTTTTGTTCTGCTCTTCTTTTTAGAAAATTTGTTTAGTTTAACAAACTTGGTTTATTGAATCAATGCCATATAAACATTCATATATTATTGGCAGGTGGAGTGAATACAACCTATGTTGAAACTAATTGGTATAAAGTTGTAGGATTAAATAGTTGAAGGTTGTTAAGTAGAGAGGTACATCATTTATATAAAATTTGGTCTGATCGTTTGTATGCTACTTATGCTCATAGTTTTCATGGTTGGTTATTTAGTTCACTAATCTATAAAGAGTAATAACATTAATCATTCTTTAGCAATATTATATAGGATCGATTATTTGGTTAAATAGATTTTATAGTTTTCATGTTTGATGATCGAAATGTGTTGGATAGTTGACTGATAGTTGCAATGGCTAATTGAAATGATTGGATAGTTGCTAATAGTTGTAATTGCTTCTAAGAACCACTTTTTTTTTGGATAGTTAAAGCAAATAACATATTAACAATGGTGCATGGTTTTTAAAAACTGAACCCCCGAAAAAAAATCGAACCACATATATGCAGTTTAAAAACCGAACCGCAACAACTACATATTGAACTGCATTCAAAAATTGAAAACCAAACTACAGGAAAAACCGAACCATGCAGTTTTTATAAAGGGAAAAACTGCACCAAAATGAGAAATAAACAAAAATGCCAATCAAAATCAACATGTAGTGTTGTATGTATTCTAAAAAAAGTGGGGACAACATAGACTTACCAATTAACCACACAAAGGTAAATCAAAACCATACATGTGTAGGGGTACAACCGTACAAGTTTTTAACCTTTGTGTGGTTAATTTGTATGTGTTTGCTGTCCCTCATGTTTTGGAATAAATGCAACACTACATGTTGATTTTGGTTGACAAATTTTTGTTTTTGTTTTTGTTTATGTTTAATTTTTATTTATTTTTAGTTTTTTGGTATTTGGCTTGTTCTGTTGTCTTGAAATTTGGTGTTTTCATCGGTAATGATGATAAAATAAAGTTTGTTTTTTTTTCATCACTGGCCGTAGTCACTAGCAACATTTAGCTATCTGTTTTATTGTCCAACTGAAAACGAAGTTGAATCTTTTTCCATTTTCCTTATTCATCAACTGGAAATCAAGATAAACAGTTCACTCTTTTTAAACTATAAATAATAAATTATACTCAATCCGAACAGATCCATTTCCTAGGAGTACTGCTAAGTCCAATACCATGCAAGAAATTCTTAACCAGCCAGTTTAAACATTACATCTTGAGTACTGTTATTTGTGTTTATAAGATATTAAATTTAATACGTCATTAAAATTAGAAATATTGACAGCATTGATAAGTGTATAATCCTAAGGAACATTATACCGATGGTTTATGCAGATCAAGTCAAAGAAGGATGAGAAATTTTGAAATCATATATTGCAATTAAACATATTAGTAGTCTAGTAGAAATCAGTTACAATGAACGAGAACCATTATCCAATGAACTGGTCCAATGATGAACTCTCTATGAAAAAAATACTAAGCACTACTGAATGTTGAAAAATTGGTCCAGCAATTGCAAATAAAAGTCAATAGTTGTAAGGAATAAGTGAGAGGAGTTTTGAGATATTTAGTAATTTAGTATAAAGTGTAAGTATCAAATTTATAAAATTAATGTTTAGACTTTTACATATCTTTTGTACTTCTCTTATTGAACAAGACAAATGTTTCAGTACCAATTGGATCACAAGGGAGGTGAAAGTGAAAACAAAGTTTATTAGTGAGTAACAGGAGGAATGAGTGATACAACATAATTAACACCTTTGATAATTTAGTTTGACATAAGTTGCTTCACGCGGTGCTCCCTGTCTAAATATTTCTTTATTCAGCCCTTCGCAACCATAGAAATATAATTTTCGGATAGATGACATGTTTTTTAACCACTTGGGCAGTTCTCGCATTCTGAATCCACTTATGGTTAATGAAGTCAGTGAGGTGAGGTGTTGTATTTCTTCTGGCATTGACTCCCAATGATCGTCACCGTATAATGTTAACGAGTGAAGGTGGTTCCTTAACTTCTCGATGCCTTGGAGACTTGGGAAAGAATCCAGCTCCTTTGAGAACGGACCAAGTTTCAAGTCATTTAAGAAGGCAAAACAGTCGAACATTTCTTGAGGGAAGGAAGTCAGCTTTTCGCAATGGGCAATAAACAAAGTCTTCAAAGAATGACACTGGTTGGGCAAATTGGGTATTCCTAAAAGACTAGGGCATTCCCTGATATATAAAAATTCAAGAGATGTAAGACCTTGTATGCTCTTAATGGACTCCAGACCTGTGCAGTCCCATATCCTTAAGGAAACAAGAGGATGGGGATTGCATTCATCTAAGAGAATAATCTTTGGGCAATCAATAATCACCAACCTATCAAGGACAGGAGAAATCATTTTTGAGCTGTTGGTTGCTCCATCTATCCACTTTTCAAGTCTTTCCATATTCTGTAGTGTGAGAGATCTCAACGATGGAGATAAAGGCTTCGTAGATCCGGTAACATCGGAAGTATTCCTTAAGCTTGTCAAGCTGTCCATATCCTTCAACACCAGATCCCGAAGATGAGGCAGGTGCTCAAGCGTTGGAAGAGAGAGGCAGCTCCTACATCCAGATAATGTGATCTTAATGAGCTTGTCAAGGGGTGTCCATTTCCCTTTAATATGGATTGCCATCTTCGTTACCCATTCTGCAAAATTATCACCTGAAAAATTGCTAAATGTCAACTTTTTCACATCTCTAGGGGGTTGCAAGCCTTCCAATACATCCTTGTTGTTTCGGGTGGCATCTTCATCATTGTTCCCACTCCAACTGAATTCAATATTGTATAAGTTTTTCTTTCTACTTAAATTTGCATTGACAGCATCCTCTTTGCTCTCAACATTTTCTAGATTGAAAATACAGAGCGTTCCAGTAAGGTTATTCAAATTGCGTAGCTTTTCAATACCATGTCCCTTCCTTCCAACCACTTTGACGGAAGACAGTTTTCGAAGATAAATCAACTCCCCCAAGATATTGGCAGGAATGTTTGTGTCAGAGATTAGATATCGCAGGCATATCAAATTTCTCATGGTTTCTGGAAACTGCTCAATGTTTTCAGGCAACTTCAGAGTTTGCAAGTGGTATAATTTACCAATAGATTTAGGAAGAACACGGATATTCGTATATGTCAAATCTAGATACCTGAGATGCACCAACCCTCCAATTGAATCATCTAACTTCTCTCTTATATAAACTTGGAGTTTTAGGACTCGAATGCACTTTAATTTTTGAAATGGAAATTTCTTCTCAATTACAACTTTGATGAACAATGTATGCAAAGTTGTAGCCACCGTCTTCCTTTCAATGAACATAGAAACCTTGGATCCGAATTCATCATCCTCGATCAGTTCTTGGTGAAAAGAGAGATGTTTAACATGAGGGATACTTGCAATATCATCATTAGTTGCATCCACCAGACATCGGCTTTCATGATTTGAAAGTGATAATGAAAGGTCATGCACCAGATCATGCATACTACAATGAGTGATGTGACCATACTCATCCCTTCGAACATCTTGGAACAACGAATTACTTACTAAAATCTGAAAAACATCATTTCCGACATCCTCCATCTCCTTGTTTTTTTCCTCATGAACCAACCCTAAAGCTATCCAAAGTCGGACCAGTTCTTCCCTTTCCATGACCTCGTCTTTCTTAAAGATGGAACAATATACAAAACATTGCTTGACTATAGAATTGGGGAGATTATCAAAGCTCAGTTCCAAGATCCTTTGAACTTTATTCCCTTCTTCTATATCCCAAACATTGTTGGTTTTGATGGACAACCACTTCTCTGGATCAGTGTCATTTGCCAACATGCCACCTATTACATTTAATAGCAATGGTAAACCACAACATTTTTTCACAATCTCACGCCCTATAGCTTCTAGTTCTGGAGGCGGTGATTTTCCTGGCACAAATGCTCTTCCTCTAAAGATTGACCAACACTCATCATTGGAAAGACCTTCTAGATTACACGAATCCCTGATCATATCATGAGTTCCGATTGCAAGTTTTCGTGTAGTGATAAGAATGCCACTTCCATTTTGTGAGTTTACATATTGCATTTCTTTCCTAAAATCTTCCCAATATTGCCTCTCTTCGACCCAAACATCATCCAAGACAAGCAGATATCTTTTTGATGCCAACAGCTCTTTAAGACTATCAATGAAATAGACCTTAGTGTGCAACTCAGGTTCCTTGCCAGCAACAGATTCGTAGATCATTTCGAGAAGTTTGACGATGCTAACTTTAACCGACACACACAACCATTTTCTCACATCAAAATACTGCTCGATTTTTTCGTCATTGTAAACCAACTTCGCCAAAGCTGTCTTCCCAATACCACCCATTCCCACAATGGGCAAAATTGTAAGTTCTTCTTCCTTTCTTGACTCGGTTAATAGCTCTACGATTCGTTGTTTCTCATCATCCCTCCCAAAAATTTGGAATTTTTCTGGATAAGGTACAGTCTCCCGATCTAGATCTGGAACAGTCTCCCGATCTGGATCTGGAACAGTGCCAGCAGGCTGTTGATCAATTTGTAGTTGTAAACCGTTTGCATTCTTAAATATTTCATCCAAGTCTTCATTGATTTTTTCGATTTTATGACCAATTTCATTACGAAATGAAAGCTTTTTTAAGCTTGGAAGACACGATACCTTTCTTGCCACCTGATCTTGTTTCCTTATCTGACGCCTTAAAATTTCATAATCAACCTCGTCCAACACATCGTCAGCTTTGACCACTGCTTCTTTTAGTTGTTTCAACCACGCCCTCACAGCCTCTGTTTCCTTTCGTTTCTCCGCATCGCGCAATCTGGCCCGAATCAGCTCCAATTTTTTGTGGAGGCTGTTGAGCTTTTCTTCGTAATTCCAAGCAGTGGCGATTTCGCTGGCAGCGATAGTCAACACCTTTTTCAGTATCCCCTCCGCAGCAATAGTGACTAAAGCTTCGGCCATTTTCACTGTTAACAAAATGAGAGAGAGAGAGAGAGAGAGAGAGAGAGGGGTTACAAATAGAGTTCTAAAGTTATCCAGATTCGTGGTAGCAAATAGATGTAGTTACAAATAGATTTCAACGTTATCCAGATTCGTGGTAGCAAATAGATTCGTGGTAGCAAATCGACATGAGGGAGGTATGGGTGGCAAATTCTCTTATTTTAATATCATTTCCCTTATTTTTCTTTTCTTTACTGAAACAAATAGATGGAAAATTTTTCTTACTATTTTTTTTTTATTTTTTTTAAATATATTTTCTATAAATATTAGGAAATTAAAAACCATGAGTTTTGTTATATTTTTTTTATAATTTTTAGTAGATATACAATTTAATAAGGTATTAAAAAAGATTAAAAAAAAAATTAACCAATAGGAATAGAAAAGAGAGTAAAGGAATGAACTCCCTCACCACCTTTCTCTCACTCAAAGTGCGGGTGTTCAACTGAGAGGAAAAGTTTCAATCACCATTTCCCTCGCCAACACCGTTCAAACCTTATAAATATCGTTTTCACTTTAAGACCGAAATATAGGTTGTTTTTATCGTGTCATGTTACAATATACATAGAAGAAAGCATCAAAACACACCCACATACAAAAGTTAATATGCAAAAAGTAAACTATAGCCACTTTCAGGGACAGTTTTAAGGGGTTCCCTTAACTTTTCTGGCCGCAATGTAAAATTTTTTGATTTTTCGATTTTTTTTTAAACTATTTTTCATGTATCAGCAACACATATTCATCCCGGCAACACCTACTATGTATTCCTGCGTCCATCCCTGACCACTTTTTGATGTTCTTATACAAATCCATATTCATGGCTATATTTTGAGATCAGATAAGTAAAACGAAGAGGCATGATGGATTCATTATTTAAGTTTTATTTTAGAATCTATAACGAGATTGGACCAACAAATGAATGGATTGTATACACTCAAGCACAAATAATACAAATCATTACCAATATCTAAATATATACTTGTAAAAATATTACATGTACGTAGAGTTCTATCCCTTTCATTCGTCTTCTTTGCAAAGAAATGATTTGAAATTTAGAAGATCAAATTTAGTAGTTGTGAAGAAAAAATGTAACAACCATAAATTTTACGCCAAATTTAAACTTTTTAAATCATAAATAAAAACCATATAGCATTGTTTACAAAATGTTTTCAAATCATTTCCCATCAGAGTGTCCCAAAAATCATAACATAAGGATGAGGAGCGGTACGGTCACGCCTTCGCCTTTCCATGACCTCCTGAAATACCTGAAACAATAAACTAAAAACTGTAAGCCCGAGGGCTTAGTGAGCTACCCCCAAAATAATAATACCATACTGACAATACCATATCAGTAATAATCAATCAATCAACATGCATACTGGGCCATCGGCCTGACTGGATTGTCGGGCCTGCAGTCTGTTTGAAACTATCCCGAGCCTTCGGCATGACTGGTCCGCCACGTGGGCCTACAGTCTTCCCGGATTGCTCATAGGGTATATTGGCCTTCAGCACAAAGCAGGACCGCCTCAACCCAACCACAAGCAAATAACCATGTGCACATATAACAGGTAATCACATAACAATCCATAGACAAACAAGTAGATCTAGCAGATCATAAGGCATAGCAACATCCTAACCAGGATACCGACCTATCCGGTCACTAACATAGCATCATCCTATATACCAGGACACCGACCTAAACCAGGTCACTAACATAATACTGTCCTAATTACCAGGACGTCGATCTAATCAGATCAATAAGCACATCAACCCGTACATGTACAAATATTAGATATAACTATCTCGCAGATTATCGATCATAGTAATCTCTCATAACCAAAACACCGACCCAACCAGGTCACTAACATATCAATCCATGACATCATACTGTCTATCTGGATACCGATCTAACATATCATAACCACATGTAGCATACCATAACAATCACAACTAAAGGGTCAGCCTTGGTGCCGTAGACCCTATCGATATAGTGAAGATAACTCACCTCGCAGATGTCGACACGAAAGGTAACTCCAACTCTCGGACCACTTGACACAGGCTCCACCATCTATCATCATAGTACATCATACTCATAAGTCCTTAACCTTATAAGGTACCCCATAACCCACTAGTCAACCCCTGGTCAAGGTCAAAGCCCTCAGTCAAGGTCAACATTCCATGTTGACCCCAACTCGCCAAGTACCATCGGCTACTCGTCAAGTTCCTTGAAGTACAATCCAATTCGCCGAGTCATCGGGGTGACTCGTCGAGTTCCTTTGATTCTCGTTCGAACTTTTAATGCCACCCGTCGAGTTCCCTCCTTGCGACTCGACGGATACACACTCATACAGATCCAATGGAAACCCATCCGACTCGTTGAGTTGTTCTTCAACTCGTCGAGTCTTATGGCGATCTTCATCGGACTCGCCGAGTTGTTCAACCAACTCGTCGAGTTCACGACCATCTTCATGTGACTCGCCAAGTTAATCTTGCGACTCGCCGAGTCCATTCAGTCCTTTTATCATGCAGACAACTTTTAAGACATGGCAAGGCCCCAAATTGTAGATCCAACATCCTTAGGCCTGCTTATCACGTAAAGTTGCAAACATTACATGGATGCAAGGCTCCAATGACTCAAAAAGCCCAAACTATGCTTGGAATGGGGTTTTACACTTAGGGAGGGGCTCAAACTTGCCAAGGCTAAGAACTTTATGGTCCTTCAATCTATAGAGAGTTCAAATCTGAAGTTACAACTTCAGATCTTGGCTCATACTCCAGGAAATGACTTTATAACCCAACCAAGAACCCTAATCTCCAACCAAGGAGGTCTAGAACGAAATAGAAAGGAGGATAACAGCTTGATACTTTCCCAAGAGATGACAACTGGAGTAGATCTGGATTTCCCCCAAGCTCCTTGCTTCAAACCACTTGCTTTCCCTAGCTCTTTTCACCAAAAATCCTCTTCCAAGGTTTCAAACACACAATGGGCACACACACACATATTAGGGTTTGCTAAGAGATTGCAAAGAGGGTGAAAGAGGTTTATGTTCCCTTAAATAGGGTGCACAACCCTTGAATTTAGGGTTTCAGCTGCCAGCTCCTACTCGTCGAGTCCCAATATAGACTCGTCGAGTATATTACTTAACCCGCGATCCTTCTCGCTGCTACTCGACGAGTAGATCAACCAACTCGTCGAGTAGGGCTTAACCCAATAACTCATATTTAAGCAATACCTAAGAATTGGGGCGTTACAAAAAAAGACTTGAAGTCACGTATGTTAGTATGTATACAATTAGTACATTATAGTGAAAAGTTATTTATCACCAAACTCTTAAAATAAGTAAAACTTACTTTTCAAACAAATTCACTATTCATTGTTTACTATGTACTATTTATTATTCACTATTCGGCTACATATATAACCATGGAAGATTTAAATGAAATATGAATATAGTTTTTAAAGTGGACCACCTAACCACAAACTAATTAATGAATTCTTTAATTTTATATGTACAAAAAACTATAGAAAATGAAAGTTAAGGATGAATGTCCATGCTTCCCACATGTTTTCCTACAACCTCCATGGCTCCATGTTCATGCGGATTTATAAGGAGAATTACATTAAAAAGGTAATATATTTTGATTAATTTTTTACTTTTGTTAATAAACTCTGGTTTGCTTGAAAAAGATGTAGCATACTTCGAAAGACATTTGCTTTGGGTACTTATTGTCAAAGGAATCAGCTGATATATGGAAAATTTTGGTCAACATTTTATATGGAAAGATGAAATGGAAGGACTTTATACGGCATGATATTTTGATTTGTTGAATCTGGGCCTCGTAATATGTTGTAGTTAGTTGATATTAATCTCAGATTTAGCTGGTAATTAGGTTGTAAGAAGAAGTCTCTTCATAATTAGAATACACAATTTTGAGAGCACTCTCTTCCATTCCTTTTTTCTTTTGTCATGGCATCAGATCAAAGCCCGGTTGTGACTTCCTGAGTTATTTATTATTTGAGTTCTATGCCAATTTCATCTATTAATATTTTGCTCAATTTTTGGTCCATTATTCTATAGCATCATGTCTTCAGAAAGATATGATTCCTCATTTGTTAATGACTTACATACAAACCAACATGGAGCATTATGAAACCAATCTTGTTTCTATACCATATGCAGCTCAAAGTAAGTCAAGAGTAAAAGACATGGATAGTGTTAATTGTTTTCTTGCAAAGGATATGTCCTTAAATTGTTCCAAAAAGATTTGCAATTGTCGCAAAAAAAATGACCATATCATCAAAGATTGTCCTACTTATGCCCTCAAGAAGTATCAAACACCATATACTGCTTTGCTTTAGTCGACTCCACAAATGTTGTTGCTAGTTTTGTAAATACTACTTTCCAGACACAATGCTCATGCTTGTTCGCAATCCATATCCCCGAAAACTATTCAACAAATGATCATTTTTGCATTCTCCACATTAGGGATTTCTAGGTTAAATTTTAACTAAATCTTATGCTTGATACTTTGATTCGGGTGCTTCCAATCACATGACAAATAATATTGATGTCCTTACCAATGTAAATAAATACATTGAAATCTCAAGACTTCCAAGATTCATACAGATGGGGAAATACTCTTCCTATTCCATCCACCGGTGACATTGTCTCCATTATAATCAAATTATATATATATATATATATATATATATATATATATATATATATATATATATATATATATATATATATATATATATATATATATATATATAGAGAGAGAGAGAGAGGGGGGGTAAGTTCAAATGTTTCTCAGATCTACTGTGTGCTAGAAAGCACCAATAAGAATTTAGTATTAATTATATGTATATTAAATACTATCCATACTTATAATTCGTTTTTATGGAAACTAATTAAATTTGTTATTAATGTCAACAATAATATTCTTTCAGAATGAACTAGATTATGACCCGCGTAAAACGCGGGGAACGTATAAAAAAAATACATATAAAGTTATAAAAAATTGGCACATTAATAATAATAATAATAATAATAATAATAATAATAATAATAATAAAGTCCAATACATAACAAACGCAATACAAGATTGTCTTGATGAAAATTATTTGACCAATAATCAAATATCTAAAATGAAAATACTTGTTCTTTGTGATTAGCACAAAGGGTAAAAATGTAATTTTGCAATTAACCTTAAATTATTTGGAGAAAACATGATAATTGCTTCAAGAAAAGAGCTGCAGTAATAGAACCACCCTGACGACCACCAGTGTTGACCATATCAGCCACTCCAGGTTTCATGGATTCCCAATAACTTTTCTTCATTGGCAACCTCCAAAGCTTTTCTCCAGCGACTTCCGAGGCCACAACCACTTCCTTTGACAACTCATCACCCGGTGTGAAAATGTATGTTTTATTATTTAAGCAAAATATCAATAATGACTTTTTAGAGTAAATTACTTAAATCACCCCTATGGTTTGGTCAAAACTGCACGTTTGGTCCCTAACTTTTTTTTGCACTCGGATCGTCCCTGTAGTTTGATTTTGTTGCGTTTTTCGTCCCTTACATACATAAAGTTAGGGACCAAACGTGCAATTTTGACCAAACCATAGGGATGAAAAACGCAACAAAATCAAACCACAGGGACGATCCGAGTGCAAAAAAAAGGTTAGGGACCAAACGTGCACTTTTGACCAAACCATAAGGACGATTTCAGTAATTTACTCCTTTTTTATATATCCTTTTTTATCCCAAATTATGTTATCAATGTATTCATGTATACGTGCAATTGAGGGCCCAAGAGCAACCACATAAGCTCTAGTCAAAGTTGCCAAAACATCAATATGAGGAAATTATGGAATATGCCATGTCACCAATGTACTTTTCATTGCTTTGTATATTTTAGCATTCGACTTTCATTTTTTACTATTACAACATTGTAATTGCATATTTTTTTTTCTTATTAAAACATTGTATTTTGAAAATTTTACCAAATTCTAGCATTATACTTCACAAAAAATCTTATTAGGATATTATACTTTGAAAAATGTACCCAATTTTAACCAAATAAAAGATGTAATTGAATAGTAAAAGTTACCTTGTCTACTCCTTGATTACAAGCATACACTAAAGCATCAGCAAGTGTAAGTCCACCTTCAACATCAGTGTTGTTAACCTACATTAACATGAAAGATTCAATAAAAAATTTCAATTATATATACAAGATGGGAATTTCAAACTTCATAATTGTATTATAATTTGTTATGATTTATCAAATTTCATGATTTTTTTGTAAATGTGTACCACAATTGTCTTTTCATTCAAGGTTTTCAATATATCTCCAGGCTTCATACCAGTTCCACTTATCATGTTCTCACAAGCTGCTACAATAAAATGAACCTGTGATACCATAATTTATAAGCCAAGTTATATATCACAGGTATAAAAAGTTGTTATTACTTTTTTACTTAAAGGATTCACATTAAAACACTTCATTCAATCCAAAAAAAAAAGACTTTGTGTACACATTATACAACACTTACTATTTACCATTCAACACTTTATCCATACATAAATTAATGGGAAAAGAAGGAAGAAACTTGTCCTTATCAGGTAAGTTTTTTTTATAGATTTTCCTATTAACTCCTATATTTTTTATAAATTTTCCTTAGAACACATCATCTCACCTTTACACCAAGCGGTTTAATTTAACCAAGGGCTTTTGCTGCACATAAAATCGCTGCTGAGCCACCCATATCAAATTTCATCAGCTCAATTAAACAACCAGGTCTGTCTTAATGTTGTAGCCACCATGCAAACAGAAAAATAACAAAGAAATGTCACATTTGGAAGAAAATATTAAATATACATTCTCTAACTAATAACATCTGAAAACAAAATAAGAGAATATTATTATCACCTGTCAAAAGTCAACCCCTTTCCTACTAAAGCAAGCTTGGTTTTAATGGAACCACTTGGAGGTTTATAACATAAATGGATAAATTTTGGGGGATTTGTAGAAGCAACAACACCAAGATATGAACCCATATTCAATTCTTTTCATTGTTCTATATCCAATATCTTTGTTGTAAGCACATCACTGTATGTTGCATCCATCTTTTCTACTTCTTCCGCTAATACCCCTGAAGCATAAACTTGAACATGTAACAAATGGGCCCAAGAAGGGTAAAAAAGTTAGTAAAAAAAGGACGACCAAATAGGATTGAGAACATTAGCAAGGGAATTTACAAGCTCTTTTCCCAAAATTACCCCTAAGCAAATTTCTTGTGTGTACTTAAGTTTATTTTCTAGATCGGGTCCAGATCCAAGACCAAAAAGGGTCAACATAATTAATTATCTATAAAATTCAAGGTGCAACTTGACCAACATTAAGTGTTAACAGAATCTTCTTCTTCACATTATCAGATGATACAGTCTATCAATATAACAGTAAATAAGCATAATGAGATTTCACAATTCGATAAGGGTATTTTCATCATTGAACATAAGATCATTTGAAACTTTTTCATAAAACATACATTAAATATCAAAGAACTAACCATAGAACATCCAAGAACAAAATATCTCATTTTCTTCTTTGCCTACACAAAAATATACAAAAGCAAACCACTTATATAAGCATAATAATATGGTAAAAAAATCAAATTTCTGTCAGAAACTCAAAAACCAATTTGGTTGGATAGAATGAAATAAAAAATGAATGGAATGATAAAAGAAAATGACTAAGAACCCTAATTTCTAATCTCAAGATACATAAAGATATTTTCCAACAAATTACAAACCCACAAGATATGCTAATATCAAGATAAATCGAATCCCAGGATGGAAAATTGAAATCAAACCTAGGAAAGGAAATGAAAAAAAAAAGAAAAAAAACCCTAAAACTATGATAGCCGAAAATAAGAGAATGGAAACAGAATCAAAACAAATTAAAACATCGGGAATGAATATCATTACCTTTCAACACATAATTTTTTATTTTAACCTCTTTTAGCCACCATTGTTCAGTCAAAACCCTAAAAAAAGACATCATTAGAACAAAATTTCAAATTACAAGTAAAAAAAAATCTTCCTGTATAGTTAGAGAAAATCTTCTTTACTTACCGACATTACTTATTCTGCCTATTCGCTTCACCATTTGAAGTTGTTACAAACTTACAACTGCAACTATAGAAAGAGGGGAGTCAATTACTTGGATGAACAAACAAAGATGATGGTGATTTCCACAAAAACTCACAAAAAATATGAACCTTCGTTATGTGGTTCTCTAGCAACAATAAAGCGGTGGATGATGGTAACAACAACAGCGAGCAAGGTGTGGTTAGGGCTTTCAGTACAATTTCTAGATTGGGAAACAAAGAGACCGATAGCAGATAAGGTCTTACCTTCTACAAGTTGAATCGACTAATGATAGACTTCACTGGCAGAGAAGGCATAGCCGGTGTCATGTTGAAATTGTGGGCCGAAGTAGGGTTAAGGTTTCTGTGATTTTAGGCTAAAATGGAATCGATTTTGGAAACTTTGAATGTCATTACGAATGCAAAGTTTGGAAACTATGGAGAGGTTATGGAGCGCGTAAGTATTATTCAAAAGAAAAGGTATTTGAATTTAGACGACATCATCAAATTGATATTAAATTGATCAAAGGGTTGAAAACTATTAACTAAAGACAATCAATGGGCCTGATTGTTGAAGATGATGTAATAAGGTTTCTCTTTTAAATTTTAATATATATAAAGATTCATATCTAGAAGAATGAGAGTGTATTCTAGTAGAATACACTCTCGTTCTTCATTTTCCATGCAACTTTATTGTATTTTAAATGAGTGAGTTCTGAAACAAAATGTGAACTTATATATAAAAACCTAGATGAGAATTCATTCTAAAAGAATGTTATTGATGATATTAATGATGGATTTAATTAGTTTCCATAAAAAGAGAATTATAATTATGGATATCATTTAATACACATATAATTATGGAAATCATTTAATATCTATATTTATTTAATTAAATAATTATTTAATTTACTAAATTTCTATTGGTGCATTCTAGCACACAATAAATATAAGAAACAAAATAACCTTATATATATCATAAGTAATCAGTTGTGAGTTAGCTAGTAATCTATAGAAGAGGAGTTTGCGACCTATGCTAATTGAAAGGGAACCATTGTGGCAACCATGATGCAAGCAACCTTTGTTGCGTTGTCATAATGTTTCTTGTAGGAGATGATATCTTCAGCAGTAGCGGTGGACTTTTCCAGGATCACCAGTTTCTATTGATAGTACTCATCGAGATTTTTAGCAAATGATGTTTTTTCAACAAGGGATACAAAGTGATAAGTTTGAATAAATTTAGGGGCCATTTGAGAACAATGACAAGTCATAACAAGTTCAAGGGCCATTTATGAAATTATAATTTGTCGTAATAGAATTATTTCCGACTCTTAGAAATGTGCTTTTACTTTATTCGGTGTATGGTCTTTTCCTACTTTATGTAATGTCATATTTTGTCTGTTAATTATTTAAGTGTAAATATTACGCAATCCTTTCCTATATAAAGGTTTGTAATCGATTGTAAAGATTATCGAATTCTCATACAAATAAAAAATTCTGTTGTTATTTCCCTTATGTCTCTCTAAACACTCTCTTTCCGATTCTCTTAGCCTATCTCTTAAGTTCCTAGTTCTTTGAAGCACTTAATATTATATCCCTTATACATAAAAAAAAAAAAAAAAAGTTGCTGCTGCACATACGACTCTGGTTGCTTCCCTTCCCTGTAAGTTTACTCTTCTTCATTTTAATTTTTGTTCATATTGTTTTTATGGTTTAACGGTAAACCCGGAAAAAACCGCCATACCCCCTTTTTTGGTATCAGAGCATGAAACGTTCTATGATCTAAAAGACTGAGACAAGCTCGATTTTTTTTGGCAGCATGTTTTGCTTAAGACCATTTTTATATGTCGAGAACTCTCTCAGGTGAAGATTATGGGATTGTTTTATGTTTTAATATAATTTAAGAAGATATGATAGTTTTGTTTGGGTTGTATAATTTGAAGGTTATGTAAAACTAAGATTTTGTAAAAAATATATTTTATGTCAAGGGATATAAGAAAATCTTAATAAAGAACTAAAGGAATATAAGATTTAGCTAAGGGATAGGAATTTTAATAATCATTGATTCATCAAAAAATTGTCTCGACCTTAAACAATACAACTCAACCAACTTTAAAAAACTAGACTTCTTAAATCTTGAATATAATAAAAGCGTTGATCCTACTAAAAGTCTCTTTGAAAATTATAATTTTTATTGTAGATTTAAAAATAAATATAAACATAGTCTACACACAGAAAATATACACTTAAACGGTATAACAGACTTAATTATTAATCTAGGAGAAAGTTTAGAAAATGAATTTAAAAATAACAGAAGTATAATAGAAAAAATAGTTAAAAATACAACTATAAAAACCGAGTTTTTAACTAAATTAGTAGATAACCTATGATATATTAAAGAACAGAATAATCAAATTATTAAAGAACTAAAAGATATAAAACGATTAATTCCAAGCAAAGAAGAAAATCAGCAATTAAGCTATCAATTAGAAATTAATAAACCTAAAAGAATAGAAATAGAGACAAAACAACTTATAAATAAAATAGAAAATCAATTATTACAATTTGAACCTAAAATAAATACGTTAGAAGAAATCTTATAGGTCGTTAAAAATATTGTTGAAAGTTAAAACTGGAAAATTCTAAAGAATATACTAGAGCTTTAGAAGTTAAAAAATATAAACCAGAAGATAATAAAGAAGAAGTTACAGGATTTACTAGGTATTCAGGTACAGGAAAAAGTGATAAAACATATCCTATATTATTTAATTTTATAATTAGTTTATTATTACAAATTATTGAAAAACTAAATACATTAATAGAAGTTAGAAATCCTCCCATCATACCTAGTATAGAAAGTGATTTAGACAAAATTATAAACGGAATTAACCAACTAAATATTGAAGACAGTAAAATAATAAGAAAACCTAAACCTTATAAACATTGGCTACCAAGAAAATGAATAATAATAGAAGTTTCTTAGGACGTAGCAGAACATTACAAGACGCTAGAAATTCAACTAGTAATATACAAGATATAATTACAGCAGACACATTTGTAAATAGAATAATTAGAAGAGGATCAGGAGCTAATAGTAATCAACAGATTGTACAATTAGAAGAAGAAATTGATTTAGATAGAAATATAAATTTATATAATCAACATCAGTTGGATATATTAAACCCCAGAATATTATACCAAACTGGAATGTTAAATGTTAATACAGTATTAATACGAAGTAGTAGAGAAGAAAGTTTAAGGGTAGTAGATAATACAATAACAATTGATCTATTTTCTCCAGAAACAATACAAAAAATAAAACAGTCAAAGAAACATTTTGTACATCTAGGATTAGTCATTATAGGAATAAAAGCTTTAGGAAGAAAAAATTTAGGAACAAAAATATTAGCGTTATTATTAGATAAATCATGGAAAACAGATTTAAAAAAGACAATAATCTCAGGAATGGAGGTAGACTTGAGTCAAAACACTGCACTATTTTATTGTACACCTGGAATATTAAAAGATATAAAAGATTTACATAATATTAAAATAGCATTACAAACTAAAGGATATGAACATTATGAAGGTAACAATATAGTAATAAGTATAGGAGTTTTAGGAAAAGCAAGTAATAGATCAGGAATGAAATATAAAGTTAATATAGAAGGTATAGTAAATACAATAGCATCAAAATCCATAAAAATGATAGATCCTATAAAAATAGATCCAGAAGATTTAGCAGGATTAGAATGGTCATTAAATGATTTAAAAGAACAAGAAAATGAAGTATTAATTCCAAAGAAAAGTTATATATATGAAGGAAGTGATGGTATACAAAGTCTTAGATTTTTAAATTTTAAAAAAGAAACAGTAAAACAAAGTGACGAAGAAGAGAATACAGAGTATAGCTTTATGAATATAGAATACGATACCGAACCAATATATGATACAGATAATGAAAAAGAAAGCGAACCGATGGAATTAGGATTTAGTGAATTTGAAAAAGAAGAACATATAGATTATGATTTAAGTATTATAGATTATATAGAAGAAGAAACATATACAAGCTTCAAAACAGAAGAAATTAATAAAACTATTGAACAAATTATCAATAGAAAATTTACAGAATTAAATATACAAGATGAAGTAGATGATATGATTATAGAATGCATAACTGATTTAGGATTAACATACGAAGAAATTTATAATAAATTACAAGAATATTATAATTTGCCACTAGTAGAAAATATATTACAAGGAAAAACTATGTTATCAGATTTTTATAAAAAAGAACAAGTTTTTATGAATAATGTTACATATAAGACAAATATTAGAAAAATATCTAAAATGGAATGGAGTGAACCAGGCACTAGTACAGAAGATAGTATAGGACGAGAAATATGGTCACAGCCAACAGTTACATATACCGGAGAATCTAGTTATAAAGGAAAAGGTAGCCGATTACCAATTGGAAATATATATAGTGGAAGCATGTTATTATTAGAAAAACAAAAACCACAGCTTTGGATGGATGAAATTTTGTCATGGGAACAAGTAGTTGTTAGAATGTGGGAAACAAATAAAGAGGATAGTATGTACATGTTTGCTTATTTAGAAACAACATTAGGACCAATAGCTTTGGGTGTCTGGCAAAGTAAAAAAGCACAAGATCCAGATGAAATTAATAAATTAAAAGCCTTAGGTGATAACCCATATAATTTTACTAGTCAAATAAGAAGATTAATTTTAGGAGTAGACCCTGCAAAAAATAATACATTAATACAAGATACAGCTATTAGAAATCTTGAACAATTAAGTATAGCAGATATGAAATATATTAATGAATTCACATTAGATTTTATTAGATTATTATCACAAACCGGGCAAGCAATAGATGATAATTTATGTGATATATACATGAAACATGGAAACAACAATATGGAGAACAGAAAAATCTAGGAATAGGACCTAGGATTACATATACATTTGTTGTATTAGAAGATAAATCTAAAGAAGTAGCTTTACAAGAACAATTAAAGAAAAATGCTTATGCCTTTTGTAAATCAGCAATTTACACACCTCAAGCATATGGACATTATGAAAGAAAAAAGAAAATACGAAAAAGCACATCATATAAAAAAGGAAATAAACCATACTATAAAAATAAATATGTAAAAAGGCCACAAACAAGAAATTGTAAATGTTTTATTTGCGGCGATATTAAACATTTAGCTAATAAATGCCCAAACAAAAATAAAAATATAGAAAAAAGCACTTTAATAGAACAAATAGGAGAATATAATATAGAACTTCTTAATTATGATAATTCTGATAATGAATAAATATACAGTATATATAGTGATAGTGATAATGATAAGCACTTAACCAAAATAACATATACATACGTAAATACATAACCAGAAGAATGTCAACATAATTGGATAAACAAACGAGGAAATAACTATATAAAATGTTATAATTGTGGATATTATCCTAGTATAGAAAAAAGATCACAATGTAATATATGTTTTACAGAAATCTGTTACATATGCCTTAAAAAGCTATACAATTTAGAAATAAATAAAGAAAAAACAGAAAAAGAAAATAAAGAAGTAAAAATCGGATTACAATCAGAAAAGATAGAAAAATTAGAAATAATAGCTGAATTACACAAATTAAAAATACAAACTTTAGAAAATAGAATAAATATTTTAGAGGAGGTGTTAGATAAAAAGAAAAAGATCAATATTGAAGAGAACGAAGTAAATGAAATAAACCAAATGTCTCAAATAACAAATGAACATATATTAATACAAACAGATGGATCACCCAACATGATAAACCTACAATGTAGATTATGGTTAGATAATAATAAATTTTTAGATTTAACTGCATTAGTAGATACAGGAGCAACTAAAAGTGTTATATCTTATCATCTAGCACCAAAATCATATCATAAACAATTATCATATAAATTAATGACAAGAACAATCGAACACAGACTAATAACTATTACACATTACTTAGAACCAACAGGTATTCAATTTCTAGACTTTGCAGGTAACTATAGTATGAAATATGATATCCCACAAGTTAATATCAATCCCGAATATGTAAAATCTAATGATTTTATTCTCGGACTAAATTTTATTTTTTCCTTAAATGGTGCTATCACAATAACACGTAATTTTATCACACTTAGTAAACATATATATAGCTTTCCAACACTTAAATATACAATACATCAGAGTTTGCGCAAAAGCATGGTGGACAGGGTAAACTAGACTTTTTAAAACACAATCAAATTAAGACAAACATTGAAAATGAAACAATTAAGCTATTAACAGAATTTTTAACACATGAGTTAGAAAAAGGAAAAGATATAACAAAAAGTATGAATCATCCTATAATTTTACACTTGGAGAAAATTGGACTTATAGGAGAAGATATTACAAAATCAAAAGTTAATTATATTTGTAAATTTAAATTAAAAAATCCTGATATTACAATAAGAACAGCAAACATAGAATATAATCCTTTAGATAAAGAAGAATTTAAAAAACAGATACCAGAAATGATAGAACAGGGATTAATTAGAAAATCGGAAAGTCCACATAGATCAGCAGCTTTTATAGTAAGAAATCATTCTGAAATAAAAAGAGGAAAAGCTCGAATAGTTT